ACCTACACATGGGCAAAGCCACTGCTGCCTAGAGGTTCACTCTTCCCATCACTAGGCATGTTTGCCACATGGAGATTTGACCCACACAACTAAAGAAGGTCTATTAATGTCAAAAGTTCAAAGAAACATGATTGCAGGACAGAAGTCATACTGTTTGTATATACTTTGAGATAGTCACAAAGAACTACTGTTTTGTTAACTGACAAGTATTCATTAAACTCATTTTGAGAAAATGGATTTCTACTGACCAGTAAACTAAAAGTGTGCAAAAGCATTTCAAATATCATTTGAAATTTCATGCATTTCAAATATAATTATGAAAAAATCCAGAATCATTACGATGAATTTGCTCGGCATTTTGCGATCTTAACAACCCTCTATGTTGGTCTTCTTTTATTTGCAGTTGTAGTACTGCCCTTTACCTTTCAAGTCTCATTACCTTCACTCAGTGGTCAATAATCAGATCTCTATCTTTTCATGTAAAATGTTTTCCATGGGATTTGAATGTCACTGACAAGCAAAAAAAAAAAAAAAAAGGCTATCGTTTTCAGTTCTTGTTTACTGCAATGATGGTTCTTCAAACTCAAGAAAGTCTTGGTCCATGGTACTATCCAATAAAATCCAAGCAGCAAAAGTCAGCTACTTCTTTTAAGATAAAGAAGAAAATCCAATAATATATTTGACTCCCTTAGGAGAATCAATTTCATTCATTTTTCAAATCTCAGAAAATGACATTTCAGTTAACCTCAAAGATACAAAGATGCTGAAGATAAAATCCTCTGGGTTTTTTGAGAGATTTCTTAAGGAGATCAAGAAGTTATATTAAGTAGCACTGGCAGAGTATGCACCTTCAAGCAGTACAAGATTATGGAACCTTCTGTCTACCCATGTGGTCTCTCCCCATGTATCCCTATGTATATCTAGTTAAGGAAAAAGCAGTAGAACTTAGCAGGTAAGGGGCTTTGAGGTCAGTTTGGGTTAAAAGCCTAACTAGGTCAGAATTCAAGGTCTATCATTTACTAGTTAAGTGGCCTTGGACAGGTAACTGTTCTCTCTGAGCCTGTTTCTTCATCTGTAAAACAGGAACAATAACACCTACCAATAATGATTGCTGTGAGAATTAAACGAAATATTTGTACAGTGCTAAGCAGAGTGACACAAAGTCCAGAGCTAAATCACTGGTAGTTAAGCCATCAGCCTTGTGAATGTGATACAGCCACTGGTCAAATCCTATAGCCTAGTTTATTACACAGGACACTTAGCTGCTGCCCTGTACAAAATTTATTTGTAAGAATTTTGTCTTAGGCAGGGTGCGCTGGCTCATGACTGTAATCCCAACACTTTGCGAGGCCGAGGCGGGCAGATCGCTCGAGCTCAGGAGTGTGAGACCAGCCTGGGCAACATGGCGAAACCCCATTTCTACAAAGAAAAAAAAAAGGAATTTTCTCTCATTTTAACAATTAGAACAACACTTATTGAACACACTATGTGCCAGGCACGGTTCTAAGTGCTTCAGTTAAGTGTATTAACTCATTTAATTTCATAACAGCCACTGGGTGGTGGCGGGGAGATGCTTATTTTATTGGCAAGGAAACTGAGGCCCAAGGTCACATAGTTAATAAGTGCTAGAGTCAAGATTTAAAACTTAGGTGTCTGGGTAGCATATATTATTTTACTAACGCTGCTGCCTCTCTGACTGTAACCTACTTAAAAGCAGACATGGGCTGGGTGCAGTGGCTCATGCCTGTGATCCCAATACTTTGGGAGGCCGAGGTGGGCAGATCACAAGGTCAGGAGTTCAAGACCAGCCAGGCCAAGAGGTGAAACCCCGTTATCTACTAAAAATACAAAAATTAGTTGGGTGTGGTGGTGGATGCCTGTAATCCCAGCTACTCGGGAGGCTGAGACAGGAGAATCGCTTGAACCCGGGAGGTGGAGCTTGCAGTGACCCGAGATCACACCACTGCACTCTAGCTTGGGCAACAGAGCAAGATTCCATCTCAAAAAAAAAAAAAAAAAGAAAACCCAGACATCATTTATATCTTTAACACATATTGCTGCACAAAATTATGTATCGAGTATTTCATGTGGCAGTGAACTGTGTTTCTATCTCTTTATCTGTCCTTCAGTGCTTTAGGCATAATACATTCTCAAAAGCTACTTGAATAGATGAAAACCAGTACAGGGCTCTAACAGGCCCTATACAATCGTCATCTTCCTCCCCTACTCATCTCATTCCCTACCTCACTCCCCCTGACGCATTTGCTCTATCCACATCAGCTCTCTTGCTGTCCTGAACTGCCATGTGCATTGCTTATGCTCTGGGGGCTCATTCACTTTATAGTCATTTGTTGAACACCTACTATGTGACAGTCAAGAATAAGCACTGGAAACTACAAGATAAAAAATAGGCCCCCACTAGTGTGAAAACAGTTAAATCCGAAGACAGTTACTTAATACTTAATTATTAATTATTAAGTAATACTTAATATTAGTGGTACACTTAATATTAGTGTACCAATGTTAATTTCTAAGCTTTGATAAATGTATCATGGTTATGTAAAGTGGTAACATTAAGGGAAGCTGGGTGGAGGGTAAAGAACTTTCTATGTATCTTTGCAACTCTTCTAAATACTTTAAATTGTTTTAAAATCAAACGATTTTTTTTAAAACAACATACAGTCCCTACCTTCAGGAACTCAAATTCTAGAGGAAAAGGTAGGCGTGTAAGCAAATGAGTCCACCAAAGTGAGAGAGAACTTCCAGGTCAGAAGTCATGTTCGGGACAGGATGTGAAGGGGAAGGAGGCAGGCCGGCTGTGCCAACCCTGTTATCCACTAAAACCGTTTAACATCCCGAAGCCTCAGTTTACTCCTCTGCAAAATGGGAACTAGACACGGGTCCTTGCAGGGCTGGTGGGAGATCTGCAAACCGAAGTCACCATGGGACCGCTCATGCTGTCAGCAGCCAGGCCGAGCAGCACCTGCCGCCCTCCGAGTGACCCACCTGGAACTCCAGCCCGTAGATCACTGGTGCATCGTCCTCCATGCTGCGGGGAAGCGACCAGACCCCGGCCACTCACACGCTAAGGCTCTCGCTACGGCCGGCGCGTCCCCACCTCGCGGGCGTGTTCCCAGCGCCCATTCATTCCTTCCGCGCAGCAAACGACTCCAAACTGACAGCCTTTCTGGACCAGAACAGCTTCCGTAGTGGCCACTTCCTATTTTTCGGATGTGTCATCAATCTGTTCCTCACCAGCGACCAATGGCAGCGGCGTTGGCTTTTGCGCATGCTCACATGGGCTCACATCCGGGCTCTCAGCGCGCTGGCTACTGGAGGCGAGAACCCGGCCTAGAGGAAATAAGGTGGTGGGCGGAGCAGACTGCGGAGGCTGGCTCTGGGCGCAGACCGTCGGCAGCAAGCGGCGATTAGCCTTAGCTAGCCATCGCATCTAAGAATCGCTCGCGCCGTAGTTGGGCGCCACCATGTATTGTCATTTGTACTGTACTTGGCGTTCCTGAGCGCTGGGTCAGCGCTTCACACGCAGTGCCATAAGAAGCTTCATCCAACCCTATGAGTAAGCGGTTACACTTCCATTTTACAGATGAGACGCTGCAAAGTTGAGTAACACAGTCGCAGCGCGCATTGGTCCACTGAGTAGCCAGGATGGGCACCTGAGCTGTCTGACTCCCTTAGGTTCGGCCCCAGGTGCTCTAAGTCAGGGCCATGCCAAATGTATTTCTGCAGGTGCCCAGCACTGTGTGGCAAAGAAAGCCCTACCAAGGATGGGGTTATCATGAAAGCCGGCACTTCACCACTGGTGTTCCTGGACCAGCATATGCCTCTGAATGGGAGTCAGAAGGGAAGGCCCTGGGGTTCCTAGAGGTCTCCAAAGAATGAAGACTTGTGGTGGAGAGACCGCCCCTCTTACGCATCCCGCCCAAAGTCCCTGCCCTGGCCTTGGGCCAGCAGAAATGGCATTGCAAGGACTCCAAAATACATCATAGCTGAATCACGCCGCTAGCCTTTTCCACCGGGGCTCCCAGGACCCCGCACCTTTCCTCAATTTCTGTGATTAGCTTTCCCCTGTACCCTTTATTGATCTCCGTGACGGAAATGGTTGGGTCTGGTTTTGCTCAGTTGAGCACGGCACGTGGTATGGAGTTAAGGCTGGATGAATATCTGTTGAGTGGATGAGATTTTAGAGATTACATTAGAAATCAAGCAGGCCGGGCGCGGTGGCTCACGCTTGTGATCCCAGCACTTTGGGAGGCCGAGGCGGGTGGATAACAAGGTCAGGAGTTCAAGACCTGCCTGGCCAACACAGTGAAACCCCCTCACTACAAAAAATACAAAAATTAGCCGGGCGTGGTGGCACGCGCCTGTAATCCCAGCCACTCGGGAGGCTGAGGCAGGAGAATCGCTTGAACCTGGGAGGGGGAGGTTGCAGTGAACCGAGATCGCGCCACTGCACTCCAGCCTGGGCGACTCGGTCTAAAAAAAAAAGGAAAGAAAGAAAAAGTAAGAAAAGTAAGAAAGCAAGTAAGCAATGGCCCAGACGTGAGAATCATCCTTTTCAACCGCTCCGTTTGCCGATATTGCGGAGCTAACAGGGCCTTCATACTTCGGGATTAAATCCACCCACCTATCACTGATATCTTTATCATCAATTTTATTATGCAACTACTGCAGCTGCATGGTAAGAAACTTACAAAATACAGATAAACACAAAGACAAATCCCTAAAAACACTGATTTCTAGGCTATGCTGGCCAATAAAAATAGCCTAAGGGACTCCCTTTCACCCGCCGCATCTGCCACAGGCTTGCCTATTGCCTCTGAGTGACAGAATCAGGCTAGATGGAGTGTTGTCTCCGTTCCCATTTCCAAGTACAGGGTCCGTTTCCCTCAACTACCGGCTCCTGGTTGCCTAGACGCGTTCACACCTTGGGCTCCAGGCCCCGCTCGCAGCAGACGAACCGGAAACGAACCCCATTTCCGGCCTGGGACCATGGCCACGGGTTCCTGCACCAAGCATGCGCGGAAGTAGGCGTGCCGCGGCCCGGCACGCGCAGGCGCACAGGGCTGCCCGGGCTGCTGGTTCCTCTCCGATTCCCGGCTTCTGTCACCTTCTTCTCGGACCCTGGTCACGGCCGCAGGTGACCCCCTTCCCCCAGCCCCAGTGGGCGGGTGGCAGGTGAGGATCAGGGCCTCGGCAGTGAAGAGGGGATGGGACCGTGTAGAGCCTCCTCGGGGAGGGAGCACGCCGGCCTCGGCCTCAGCCCAGGGGACCTTCTCTGGGGCCGATGCTAGAGTGGGCGTGGGGTCCGGGCGCGGGGTCGCCTGCCACCCGAGGGCGTCTGTGCTCCGCGGGCCTTGTGCCAGGCTCCACGCCGCCGCGGCCCTCGCGCTCCACGTCTGCAGAGGGCTGGAAGCGTCTCTGCAGCCCGCGGAGGTTACAGGGAGGGGAAGCTGGTGCGAAGCGGGTGGGAAGCTACGCGCTGGCGCGCGTCCAGGCGTCCCCGAGACCCCCAGCTCCAGGCTCGGTGCCAGCCTGGCCCCCCAGCAAGCCCCTTAACTTCTCTTAGGCTTAATTCACCCTCCTGCGGAAAGAGGTTACTAATGACCTGCCTGCCAAACACAAAAAAGTGTTTGGATTCAACACTTTTGTTTCATTAACATGTTTTTGAATATACAGAGTCATGCTGTTTATTTTTCTACTCATTCTTTGTGCAAAATTGTATTTGCGAGATCCAAACATAATTTATATGTTAGATATGGAACAGTTCACCACTGATTTTTACTGCTATTTTAATATTTTATGTTTTAGTATACCACAGTCTACTTATTTACTTATTACTGTGTCTACAAGCAGTGTTTATTTCCACTGTTTTTTTCTCTTTTTTTTTGAGATGGAGTCTTGTTCTGTCGCCAGGCTGAAATGCAGTGGCACGATGTCAGCTCACTGCAACCTCTTCTCCTGGGTTCAAGTGATTCTCCTTCCTCAGCCTCCCAAGTAGCTGGGTCTACAGGCGCCCGCCACCACGCCTGGCTAATTTTTTGTATTTTAGTAGAGACGGCGTTTCACCATGTTAGCCAGGATGGTCTCGATTTCCTGACCTTGTGATGTGCCTGCCTTGGCCTCCCAAAGTGCTGGGATTACGGGCGTGAGCCACTGTGTCCAGCCTGCTTTTTCTTTTAGGACTTAGAAGAAAGGTATTTTGATTTGTTATTTATGGAAGTCAGAATCATAGCTTACACTGCTCATGTACAGGTATTCCTCCATGGTATGTATCTAGCAATGGAATTGCTAGGTCCTAGGTACTATGACCGCATATTAATTGTCTCAACCAAGACTCCTTTAAGAGTGAAAGGAGACACTTAATGATTTTACTGAGGCCAAGCACAGTGGCTCACGCCTGTAATCTCAGCACTTTGGCAGGCCAAGGCAGGAGGATCACTTGAGCCCAGAAGTTTGAGACCAGCCTGGCCAACATATTGAGCCCCCATTTCTACGAAAAATACAAAACTAGCTGAGTGTGGTGGCGCACACCTGTAGTCCCGGCTACTCCAGAGGCTGAGGCAGGAGGATGGGCTTGAGCCCAGAAGGTAGTAAGCCACCATCGTCCCATTGCACTCCCGCCAGGGTGACAGAGCAAGACTGTGTCTCAGAAAATAACAATACTAATAAAATAATAGTAATAACTTAAACCATGGGTGAAAAATTGTTCTGGGAAAAATAAAAATGTATAGTTATTGAAGTGATAAGATACGTGCTTTTTAAACTTTGCTAGATAATACCAAGTGGTTTCTCAACAGGGATGTTCAAAGGTACACCCCTTTCAGCCCTGTTGCTTATTTTCCTTAAGGATCATTTAGTATCCTATTATTAATTTGTAGGAATTCTGTATTTATTCTTCATGTTAATCCTTTCTCAGTTACATTTGTTTGTTTCCCTTTTTATAGATTCTTAATGATACATTTGTTTGTTTCACTTTTTTTAGATTTTTCATGATAGAACTTTCCATTTTAATATAGCAAATGTATCCATTTTCCCTTTATGGTTTATACTTATTTATTAGGCCTAGTTTATTATCTTATATTTTCTTTTGAAAGTTTTGAAGTTTTGCCTTTCACAGTTAATTTTTTTCTCCCCCGAGATGGAGTCTTGCTCTGTCACCCAGGCCGAAGTGTCGTGCCATGATCTCGGCTCACTGCAACCTCTGCCTCCTGGGTTCAAGTGATTCTCCTGCCTCAGCCTCCTGAGTAGCAGAGTAGCTGGGATTACAGGTACCTGTCACCACACCTGGCTAATTTTTGTATTTTTAGTAGAGATGGGGTTTTACCATGTTGGCCAGGCCCGTCTTGAACTCCTGACCTGGTGATCTGCCCGCCTCAGCCTCCGAAAGTGCTGGGATTACAGGCGTGAGCCACCGCACCCGGCCTTCACAGTTAAGTTTTTAATGTCCCTGAGATTGATACTGTGTCTGAGGTGAGGCAAGATTCCAAGTTTGTTTTTTCCCAGATGCATGATTTGTTGACACATCACTTGAGGGAAATCATCTCTTCCCTTAATGTGTGCAACACATTCCCTTGTGATAGTTCAGTCTTGTTTTCTGTTTTGTTTTGTTTTTTGAGATGAAGTTTTGCTGTTGTTGCCCAGGCTGGAGCACAACGGCACGATCTCGACTCGCTGCAACCTCCGCCTCCCAGGTTCAAGCAATTTTCCTGCCTCAGTCTCCCGAGTAGCTGGGATTACAGGCACCCGCCACCACGGCGGGCTAATTTTTGTATGTTTAGTAGAGACAGTGTTTCACCATGTTGACCAGGCTGGTCTTGAATTTCTGACCTCAGGTGATCCACCCTCCTCGGCCTCCCAAATTGCTAGGATTACAGGCATGAACCACCGTGCCCGGCCCAATAGTTCAGTCTTTATACCATAGATTTTTAATGTATTCTACATAAATAATCATACATGAAGAATGAAGGTTTATATTTTTTTCTTTTCAGTTTTTATTGTAGCTTTTAGTTATTTTTCGTGTCTTAATCCTGCCTGAGGCCTCTAGTATTAGGCAGCATAAAAATGTTGAAGAGGACATCTTTATCTTTTTTCTACTTTTAAAGAGAAAGCTTTAAACGTTTCACCGTTCATTTGAGGTTTCCTTTAGGTTTTTGGTAAGTACCCTTGATTGCATTAAGGAGGTTGCATTCTGTTGCTAGTTTGCTGACAGGTTTTATCTTGAGCAGATGCTGAATTTTATTAGATACTTTCTTGTGCATCTATTGAGATAGTCACGTACTTTTTATTATTTAATCTATCAGTGTGTTGAATTGCGTAAAAAGATTTCCTAGCATTAAACCAACAGTACATTTCTGGGATAACCTGAGTTTGGTATGAAGATAAATACATTGCTGATTCAGTTAGCTAATATTTCAAGATTTTTGCGTGTGTGCTCATGAGTGAGATGATAGTTTCCCTTTTAGTATGGCCTTGTCATATTTTGGTCTCAGGATTATGTTAGCCTTATAAAGTGAATTGGGTCATGTGTCCTTTTTCTTCTCTGCAAGAATTTTTGTACTGTAGGAATTATCTGTACGAAATCTTTGGTAGATTTCACTGGTAAACCATCTGGACCCTATATTTTCTTTGTGGGAAGACTTAACTACTAGTTGTACTTTTTTTATGGTTATAGATCTGGTCATATACACATGGTTATTACTACTGTCTGCTTTACATTTGAACCTTACATTGGAACAAGATTAGAGTACGGAAACCCTTGAAGTGAAGAAGCTATTTTGCTAAAAATTATATGTCCCTTGTAACAAAATCTAATGTATATAATTTATATAGATGTAACTTTATAATGTGTCTTCCCATTCATAAAAGCGTCATCTAAATCATGTTTTGTATCATTTTTATTTGAGCATTCCTCTTGATTTTCTAGAGAAGAAACCCTCAGATCCTTACAAGCATTTTCCTGCATCTAGATTTTATTTGTGTGAAAGCAAAAGTGATCATCCCTGCCCTAAATTATTAGGGCTTTTTATTACTTTTGTATTTACTTAAGAATAAAATTTATTTTTTTATTCTCTTCTCAAAAGTGGTCTGCAGGTATTAATGAAAATTTTGGACATTCCTATTTTATCAGTTCTCTTTAATTTACATTTTATAAAGTTTTTAAGCTTTATAATTTAGAAGCATTTTACCTTAATTTTTATTATTTTGGTAATTTTTTCTAGGCGATGTTCTTTGTTATTGTATCTCTGATAAACAGATTTCCCTAAATCTTAGACGTTTAAAGCAGCTTCATCTTCATAATAGTAAGAATTGTTTCTTAAAAAATGTTTCTTCACAAAGGCAATACAACTTTTTAAATCTGTGAGATTGAATCAGAATTAGCTTTAGAACCTAGAATCTTGTTAGGGCTGAGGGGAGATGAGAGGGAGGGAAAATCCCTTTCTCTCATCATTAGCGTATATGGAAATAAATTCTTATTTCTAAAATAAAATATGCAGACCACGGTAGTGCCTTCAGGTCCTGCTGGGAGACTCCAGAGGGCACTGCCTCAGGCTGCTTGTTTGCTCCTTGTGCCCAGCCTCTACCCCTGTGCAGGTGGGACCTGAAGGAGCAGCCTTAGCATGCCCAGGGGGCTTCCCCCTTTGGGGTTCTAGGGCAGTTTGTTCTTCGGGCTCGCGGTGAAACATGGCAGGAAACAAAGGTTTTACTCCTTTTCATTGGATTTTTTTATTCATTTGCACTTAACAATTATTGGATGAATGCATAAGGGAGTTAGTAACTGACCAGGCTGAACCAGAAACTTCTTCAAATGTATAACTTGGATTAACTACTTTAAAATAATGCTTTGGGAAGGCCCACTCTTTGGGAATACTGTGATGGAAGTGCTGACAGTGAGAAAAGGGTAGTCTTATCTAGAGATCAGCTAAGTGTCATTTTTTAAGCAAAAAAGGTACGTGTTGTTTTATTCTGAAAAAAATCCCTTATCTTTTATCATAGTCTCTTAGATTTCCTTAACTTGAATTTGTTCACTATGAGAGTAAAACTACATAAAGTAAAAGTTTTTCAAGGAAAGGAACAAATACTTTTTTACAGTTCGAGCTCTTTGTTTCATTCTGTGGCCTCTACCAGCCAGTGGCCCCTCAACAGGCCGGCTTCGGCTGGTCCTGGTTTCCCCACTCACTGGCTACGTGATTTTGGCTAACATAGCCTCCCAAGGCTTCAGTGTCCTCATCTGTGAAACGAAGACAGTGCTAGCAGCTATCTCGGAGTGTTGTTCTGAGAATCACATAGGCATATGTGTATACAGCCAGGGGCATAGTATGTGCCGATAAATGTTAGCTAGTTGTGTTGTCAGCTTCAGCCATCAGTGCTTAGTGAGCGTGCTGTTGTTTTCTTACTGTGTAAGTTTTTCATGTCATTCTCACTGTCTCAGATTTCCAGAGTTAGGCAGATAATATAAGCTGGGCCAGGGGGGCGGACAGCATGGGGAAGAGTGAAAAGACTATTATAAATTGAAGAGTCTTGGGAGAGGTTCGTGGAAGAGGAGGGACTTAGCTGAGTCTCAGAATAAAATAGTGTTTATATGGCTGGAACCTCACACCTATTGGAATGGCTACTATGAAATAAAATAAAAACAAAATAACAAGTGTTGGCAAGGATGTGAATCCGAACGCTTGTCCGCTGTTGGTGGGAATGACAAATGGTTCAGCCACTATGAAAAACAGATTTTTGGTGCCTCAAAAAAAATTAAAAATAGAATTACCATATAATCCAGCAGTTATTTCTAGGTATATACCCAAAGTGATTGAAAGCAGGGTCTCAGAGAGATATTTGTACACCCACGTTCATTGCAGGAGTATCCACAATAGCTAAAAGATGGGAGCAACCCACATGTTCATCAGCAGATAGCTGGATAAACCAAATGTAGTGTACGCATACCCTAGGTATTTTCCATCCGTAAAAAGGAAGGAAAACAGACCAAACTGTAGTGTAAATAGCCCTTGAGGACTTCATGCTAAGTGAAATCAGCCAGTGAGAAGAAGACGATTATCAGGTGATTCCACTTACTTTATAGTGGGATGGTGGATGTTCTGGGCAGGGGGAGATGGGTATACGGGGGGATGTTTGATGGGGATAGGATATTAGTTTTGCAACATGAAAAGTGTTCTGGAGATTGGTTGCACAGAAATATAGATGCACTTAACACTGCTGAACTTAAAGTGGTAAATTTTATGTGTATTTTACCATAATCAAAAGCACATGGATAAGAAGCTGGAGAAATGGAAGTCTGAGTCATTTGAGTCTATAAGCAATAGGCATTTTTCGGTTAAGATAAACGAAGATCACACTGAGGGGCCTTCTTTCTGTCTTTGCTTTCAGGGGCATGGAGGACGCTGGCGGCGGCGAGGAGACCCCGGCCCCGGAGGCCCCGCACCCCCCTCAGCTCGCGCCTCCGGAGGAGCAGGGGTTGCTGTTCCACGAGGAAACCATCGATCTCGGCGGAGATGAGTTTGGATCCGAAGAGAACGAGACGGCGTCGGAAGGCTCGAGTCCTCTCGCGGACAAGCTGAACGAGCACATGATGGAGAGCGTCCTCATCTCCGACTCCCCCAACAACAGCGAGGGCGACGCGGGCGACCTGGGCCGAGCGCGGGAAGAAGCTGAGCCCGGAGGGGAAGGCGACCCGCGC